AGGATATTGAGAAAACTGCTGTCCAGACTCCTCTCGGTCTGTTCGAGTTCCTACGAATGCCATTTGGATTACGGAATGCTGCTCAAAATTTCCAGAGGTTTATCGATAGCATGGTACGAGACTTTGATTTTGTTCACGTCTATACTGATGACTTGTTATTCGCATCATCGAACGTAGATGAACACTATCAACATCTTACACTCTTATTACTATCTTAATGGAATAATGGTTGACACAGACAAGTGCGAACTCGGCAAAGCAGAAATAAAATTCCTGGGTAATGTTATTAGGCAGGAGGGTATTTTACCATGTGAAGATAAAGTACGTACGATCATGGAGTACTCTGCACCGTCTTCACTCAAAGAACTGAAGGCTTTTCTCGGTTTGGTCAACTTCTACCGAAGTTTCGTCCCTCACGCCGCAGAACAGTTACGGCCACTAACCGATCTACTTCGCGGTAATCCACCTTCACTGGAATTGAACGATGACGCGCGTACTGCATTTTCCAAGATCAAAAAAGCTTTAGCTCAAGCCACGCTCCTCGCCCATCCCGACCCATCAGCCACGCTCAGTATAGCGGTTGATGCATCCGAATTTAGCTATAGGAGCCGTCATGAAACAGAACATCTCTGGAAGTTGTCAACTTTTCGGATTTTTCTCACAACGCCTCACCACCACGGAGACGAGATATGGCGCTTTTGTGTCGCGAACTACTAGCAGCCTACTGTGCCATCATCAAAATACCAAAGCAAGGCAAGTGTGAAAACTACAGAGGCATCACTCTTCTTTCAATACCAGGCAAAGTCTTCAACAGGGTATTGTTAAACAGAATGAAGGATTTCGTAGACGCCCAACTTCGAGATCAACAGGCCGGATTTCGTAAGGATCGATCGTGTACTGACCAAATTGCTACATTACGGATCATTGTGGAACAATCAATTGAATAGAACTCACCACTCTACATCAACTTCATCGACTACGAGAAAGTATTCGATAGCGTGGATAGGAAAACACTGTGGAGGCTTCTTCGACACTACGGGGTGCCTGAGAAAATAGTTAACATCATACGGAATTCTTATGATGGATTCAACTGCGAAATCGTACACGAAGGACAGCTAACGGACTCCTTTGAGGAGAAGAACGGTGTGAGGCAAGGTTGCTTTCTCTCACCATTTCTCTTTCTCCTGGTCATCGACTGGATTATGAAGACGTCGAAGTCTGGAGGGAAGCACGATATCAACTGGACAGTTAAGACGCGGCTGAACGATCTGGACTTCGCAGATGACCTGGCTCTTCTATCGCACACTCAACAACAAATGCAAGAGAAGACGACCAGTGTAGCAGCAGCCTCTGCAGCAGTAGGTCTCAACATACATAAAGGAAAACGCAAAATTCTCCGATGCAACACAACATGCACCAACAAAATCACTCTTGATGGAGTAGCCTTGGAGGACGTTAACACCTTTACATATCTTGGCAGCATCATCGACAATCAAGGTGGATCGGATGCAGATGTGAAGGCACGGATTGGCAAAGAGAGGGCTGCATTTCTACAGTTGAAAAATATCTGAAACTCCAAACAACTTCCAACCAAAACCAAAATCAGGATTTTCAATACCAATGTGAAGACAGTTCTACTGTATGGAGCGGAAACTTGGCGAACTACGAAAAGTATCATCCAGAAGATTTAAGTGTTTATTAACAGCCGTCTACGCAAAATACTTCGTATTCGTTGGCCAGACACCATCAGCAACAACGTACTGTGGGAGAGATCAAACCAGATTCGAGTGGATGAGGAAATCAGGAAGAATCGGTGCAAGTGGATAGGACAAACACTACGAATAGCACCTAACTGTCTCACGAGACAAGCCCTAACATGGAACCCTGAAGGCAAAAGGAAAAGAGGAAGGCTAAGGAATACATTACGCCGAGAAATAGAGAAAGATATGAGAGGAATGAACAAACATTGGACAGAACTGTAGAGAGAAGCCCAGGACAGAGTTGGCTGGAGAAAACTGGTGGGTGGCTGTAGTAATTAGAAGTATATGAATCAAGAATTAAAGATTTGCCCAACCGAATGTATTGTATTTAGAATTCGAAATCAAGCATTTCACAACAACAAGAAGTTACTAGTTCATTCAAACACCACATCCGCCACCGCTTAAATTGGAATGTATATGTCTGTAATCAGTTGTACGTCTTCTTCTCAAATTCATCCTGTGTCTGTCCGACAGTGTATTGGATAAAGACTCTGTATTATCTAGAATGCTCTCATTAGTATTAGAATTAACAACCGAAATCGGAACAGACTCACCTGGCTCTTGGAATTGTATTTGATCAACATGTCGATTATGTGTACTTAAGTCATTGATATCTAGAAGTCGCACCATAGATTTCCCGACATTCTTCTGAACGATCCCCGTGGATGGTCGAAGTTCATTGACACGATAATATGTAACTTCTGCAGACTCCAAACATCTCATATTCGACCGAAGAATTCTTCCTTTTAATAGTTTTGATGGAGTCTCTTTCGTCACTGAATGTCTGGCATTTCTATATTGCAGTAGAAAGGTATCTACTCCCCTCTCCAGCTCATTAAATGTTGAGGCGACAATAGAATCACTCAACCTCGAATGCTGATTTTTCAGCTTATGACACTTTTCGCAATTCTTTGCTGTACGACAAATATCTGCATTTAATGACTGTCGAGAAATGTAGTCAACATGTTGAATTTGCTTGGCACTCCCGTGCTGAACCATTTTCATACTTCCATTGCACTTAGCACACGTGGCTACCAAATCTTTAAGTAAAGCATCAGAATTTTCTTTAGAAACTAGGAAAGACAACTCCACTTTAAGTCTTCTCAAATTCTTTAAACCCAGTATTGACATTCCTGTTTCACTAGCTAAGAATTCACATGGTATGTATGAGGAATCATCATCTCTTATTAGCAATTCACAACATCCTCGTATAGGCAGTCTGTGTCCAGTAATCCCCAATATTGATACTTCAGTGGGTCGTATCACAACTTTCGGATCTAACGATTTCAGGTTCTTGAATGAAATAATGGACTCTATACTGCCTGTGTCCACAATAAAGTCATGAAATGAACCAAGTGATGTATATAGTCGCTTTTGAATATGAGCATTACCTTTCGAAATGGTAGTCAAAGATAAATGATCATTAGGATCAGCTGAATTATTGGAATCTAAATTACAAGCTTTAGTACTACTTGAGGCAAAATGAACAGTAGCTTTGCATACTGCTTGAATGTGTCCTATCTTACCACATCTAAAACATTTAGCATTACGAAATGTACAATAATAACGAGAATGAAGTTTTCCACATGATAAACATTTGCCAAACTTGGTCTCACCTTTTTGATTTCCTTTGTAATTCTTTTTTGAGACACCGTTCATTTTTACACGAGAATAGGAACCTCTGTTAAACGAACACAATTTTGATTGACCCTGAGATTGCTTTTCATCATGACAACTAATCAAAGTATTGGAAATCTTCATCGACTGAATATCAAGTTCATTCAACGCCTCGTAGTTAATGCACGCAGTTCTAACATCTTGAAAGGAACAGTTTGACATTCTTAACAGCTCTCTTTCCAAACTAGGTATGTTAATTCCTGCAATTAATCGGTCTCTCAGCTGCACATGAAGTTGATCGCCAAAATTACATTTGACAGCCTGTTTCTGCAATTCAAGAATGAATTCCTTAACATTTTGGTCATTTTGACGAATCATCTTATGAAATTTCGCTCTTTCACGGCATTCAAAACCAGGGCACTTTACATGATTCAATAATAACTCCTTTAGCATTGCATAGGGAAGTGAAATAGGTTTTTCTGGATATGCCAAGGTTTTCAATAAGCTGTACGCTTCTTGTCCGATGAATGTTAGGAAATGAGCCACAATTTTATCATCTTTGACATCTTTCCTGGTCATACTCCAGATTTCAAACCTTTCCAAATAATCTTCAAAAGCTTCAGAAGTAGAATGAATATCTAACTGTTCCATTACAAGTTCCATCGCGACGCCACTGTGATGCTTAGAAGTATATGAATCAAGAATTAAAGATTTGCCCAACCGAATGTATTGTATTTAGAATTCGAAATCAAGCATTTCACAACAACAAGAAGTTACTAGTTCATTCAAACACCACAGTGGCCTATGCTCCATTGGGGGTAACAGGTGTAAGTAAGTAAGTAAGTAACTGTGCCATCAAACATTTTCGGCACTCAGTAGAAGGTCGTATATTTATCCTTTTTACCGACTATAAGCCTCTAAAATATGCTCTTTATACAAAGTCTGACAGCTACTCACGCGACCTTCTATCAATAAATATCGATATCCTATACCCAGCCTTCTGATTTGGAATACGTTTGGTCGTCTGAACTTCGAAACCACAACAGTAAATAAATTGAAGAATCTGACAATTTGATTATTGTCGATTGCGCAACATGAGATTGTTTAACGCAAGAAACATAGCTATGTCAGAAATCACACAACTGAACTTTGTATTATATACCGGTCAGTAAAACAATGGTGTGATTTTCATTTCTATATGAAACAAATGCGTAGAATCCACTTTGTGAAAAATCCCTCCATGTACATTTTTGTAATATGTCCTAATTGATTCTTTCAGTTCTGCATATTCTTAATCTGTTCAATTAAGTTTTGAGATGATAATATTTGTACTTTGTTAAAGATTCTATTTTTTGTGCTCTTTTGAGTTTCTATATTACTTTCCTAACTGCAGTATCTAGTTTAGGTTGATGTCTTATTATGGCTACAGCCATATTGATTTTGTTCACCTGGCAGTTAGTACGCTAATATTAACTGGAAGTGTGCGATTTGGATCAGAATTTGGACCGTTCTTTCGGAACTGAAAACACTTTGTGTTATTATTGATTGAGTAACATTTGTAATATTGTTCAGGCAAAAATATGTTTATTTATATTTATGAATAATAATAGAACTGTTACTTACCCAGATCACTCTTTTAGCATTTCAATTGCGCAAGGTGTCTATCTTAATCCAGATCTTTGTCTGGATTTAACAAAATGTTTGAAAACATGGTGTTCATTTTTGTAGGAAATACTGCACTGAGAGTTGTAGTGTCGATCGCCGTCATTTACTTCATGTAAACCTACGTTTGACATTGAAGAATTGAAAGTTGAATATTGAAAATGGATTTTAAGATGAAGCGAAACCCATTATTGGAACCATGGAAATTTTTCGTCGAATTCCATTTTGGTACTAAGTTAACTGCATTAGACAATGTATCTATCATTTATTATTCGTTGTGGTATTCTCAGTTAAAAATAAATTGACTAGATACTCACAGCAATATCAACTGATACTCTACTGTTATCATGAAGGTATCATGGCATCAGGCAAATCATTATAGACTAGAAAATGATTAGGAACAACTGCGAAAACAGTACAAGATCGATCAAAATCTTCATAATCATTAGTAAAGATCGACGTTACTATTCAATATGGGCTTTCCTTCGATGTCACTTCTCCCAGCATTATTCATATGAACACTGATTAAAATGGAGCTGTAACAACTAACCAAATTTAAAAAATTATTTTCAGTTGATGATGGTTCTGGTAAGTCGTTCAATCAATAATTTTATTGTAAAAATTTGTTGTCGGAGGCTTTTTAACACTAATAAAGAAGAAATATATGCAAATCATAATTATCATACAGTAGTCCATAACCCAATAATATTTCTCTTAATAATAAGTGTATGGTTCAAGTGATGTGAATAGAGTGAATGAATGAGTACATTCTACCACGGTGAAGTCTTGGAAATTAGTTGATTGATCGCGACATGTGCACCTCGATCGATGGAATGTTAACTGTGAGATAGATCAATCACAATGGTATATGGAATGTTAGATGAAGAAATTATGGAGGTAGAGTGGATAAAATCAGCACATGGTTGGAGAAGCGATAATAAACTTCATACAGGAAGCTAGGTTTATTGACTAGTTTGGGCAAGCGTTTTCTTCACAAAGAGATCAGATTTATCATTACATATTCCTATGTGACTGACTCACTGTATGTAAGAAATCGGTAGTGGAAGTATACCACATGTTAGGTGAAATTCCACAGACTATTTTGAAAGCTCAATTTGTCTCGATTTAGTTATTCCTAATAATTGTATACTGTAAAATAATTTTCAAAACCAAGTGTAGTTGAGATTTCTACTCAATAAGGTGCCGAAAGTCGTAGATTTTACTGGCCGTATCTAGTGGCAGATCAGCATGCACAAACAATGCTTCATTGAAGTTGGATTACCCGCTTCTTTGTTTCGGTAGGATTAGCGTAATCGTATGTTTGTTTTTCAAATAGAACTTATTATCGTTTTAAGACAAAATAACAATTTTTCATCTACGCAGAATTTCGTGCTCATCAAGTTAAATAATTTTGCTGTATTTCATGCATCAATAATTATCTGAACACGTATTTTGGCAAACGTAAAAATTAGTCTGACCTACTTCATTTTCTCTATGCAACGTTACTTGATCGATATATTACAGTGTGTTTGTGACTGTGTGTGTTTGTGTGTGTTTATGTTGCTGATTACAAACAATGTTAATCAGCAAAACCAGTGCTTTTTCAACTAGACAAAATTTTGTAGTATTTCAGGCAAATATTTGTACGAAATTGACAAAGAGCGAAATTTGTTCTAATCACGTGTAATGTATTTATTTTTTTTCTGGATCTATTCTACAATTTCGTTTGCTGAACTGTCTTTCTCATTGTTAATAATTGATAAATCAACTTGCTTCGCAGAATATGATGTTAGCAATGAATTATTTGGTCCTTCTCTTAGCTCTTCCACTTCTAATTTGGCCATAAGAATTCTAAGCGAAGGCTTGTCTTGTATCTGAGTTGACGTTTTTCTCATCATACCTACTATCCACTCCCTGAATTCTCGCCTCACTAGGATTAGGTTCATTTTTTTCCACTGTACGTTGGTTATGATGATGTCCGGTCAGGAGATGCAAAATATTTCGCGTAGAGAAATATTTGTAAACACTTTTATTATCTGATTGATGACTTCCGTAGTTCTTCAAGTTTCCGTTGCTTACAATAGAACTGTTGTAAAGGCTTTATTGAGAATTGTGACTTTAGTTTTGGTTGATATGTTTTGTGAGTTACAGAGTTTTCTTAATACTACAAATATATTTCTCTTGGTTACCTGCATCACATTCATCTGGCTCATCAATGATGCTGCCTGGATATGTAAAGGATCTTACATATTCCACCTCCGTCACCAAATGTAGTGAAGGAGAACACCGGTGAGGGCAACCGAATTGTATTTAACGATAATTACAGAGGTACTCAGTAAAATCGTAAAACCATATCGAGCAGCAGACGAAGAGCGAATCAATAAACGGCGATCGGGCAGAAACAGGCAAGAAGAACAGGGAAAAACAATATAATTTACTGCAAACTGATTGAATAGGCTCTTTTAGTTTGAGTCAATTTTAAGACAAGTACAAGTTATTTCAGTCGATGAAGGTAAAAATAATGAAACAGCAGCATTTAGAAAAATCTATTTTTCCGTATGTTTTTAACTGATATCTGTTAACTGGTGTGAATCATATATATATATATATATATATATATATATATATATATATATATACGTATATATATATATATATGTATATATATATATATATATTTATATATTTATATCAGTTACCGGTGTATATTCCGTTGAGATGTGATTGTGCCACTTGCTAACTTCGCAAACATCTTACTTACTCATGATAAGTTTGTAGTGAAAGAGAAAGTCTTTTCGGATATAAAACAATAGGTATCAATAGTTGTCCATACCTCACTTCATTGGAAAACAAATTCATTCCCTTGAGGATGGACCCTATTCGTTATTTAAAACCTTCGAATTTATGACCTCGTCTGTATATGTTATAACTGGCCCACAAAATTGTGTGGTTAAAAATTTTATCAGGATTCTTCTACAGTCTACAACTAGACATTACCATCGGAGATAAGTTCGCAAATAATAAAAAAAGGCAATTGAATCTTGTGAAGAATGTTGACTGATCGAAAACGCAATTTTTCATTTTGCTGATAACGTTTTCTGTAGTTGTGAAGATGTATTTATAAGTAATTTTTCATATGGTTGTGTCTGGTAAAATAGACGTGTTTCGCAAATGTCTCCATTTAGAACGGCAATAAGAATAAAGTGGTATTTTCATATGTTGGATGAAAATTATTTAGTGGTGATTGAGTCGAGATTGACTATGATCATCACTGGATATAAGTTATTATCCCGGGACGAAAATCAGAAATAAATTCAGGGTAAAGAATATATTCCAAGGAGGAAGTGTTCTTCTTCAAATGTTGCATAATATCGTTTAGCTCTAGCAGATGTTCGTGGGGGTTGATTATCAATCACATCGACCATATATGCGTTTCACTAATGGAGTGACTCCATTCACAAATATGGACAGTACTGAGAAATAAACCAGCTTTCGATCGATAAAAATTGGTTATTTCATATTGGGATTATGGCTTTATTTTTCAGAAAATTTTAGACGAGGGAGAAAGGAAAAATATTGTTGTTACTGAAAAGAATGAAGTCAAGCAGAAAGAAATCACAGCAAACACATCTGGAAGCAACATGGAACTTCATCTACGCAGCGCGTCTCGTCGGTACACTTACGTTGGTGTACTACTAGTAGTTTCTCTCCTCATATTAGTTAAGACCTGTGTCACAATCATATTGATATACAAGAGAAAATCAAATGTGAGTATTTAACGGGTCATATATGATTATCAGAGATATAGAGAGTTGTACCCAACTGACAGATATATAGTTGTTCAATTCATTATTCAGACACTGTATTGAGTGTGATGCGTGAATACAATACATCGAGTCTTCCTCTGTCGTAAAATGTAGGAATCTGTCGACAAGAATCATGTAATGAAGCCATGTGAAGCAAATATTCGTGTTACACAAAACAAATTTACTGGTTGTAAACCACTCACGTAATTTGTGGATTTGTTCCATGGAAGGAAACACTTACGATGGCCTAAAGACTAATCGCGATGTTCATAATCGACATCTTATTGTGTGCAATAATTGTATTTGAAGTAAACCTTTTTCATTTTAGCTCTCTTTACTATTAATTTGGGAGTACTTTGAAAGAAACTAACGTAATTCTTTCAAATACGTGTAGGAAACTGTTTGTCCGGACGGATCAACCATGACACTTTCTCGCTAATGACCATGATAGTAAAGCGATCCAGCGGTCTCAACTACTAGATGTCAATGTTTCATCTATGATCTTCCTGAAAATTATGTCATGTTTTATATTGTCTGTGGATATCACAATGTGTTAACATCTAACGTGTCAACGAACATGTAGGAACTTGTTGTCATTTCTAAGAAAAATATCATTGAGATCTGACAAAGACGGTATGAATAATTTTTTTTCGAAAATAAGTCAAGTCAGAGAGCACATTTCAAAACGATTCAGTACGAACAACATGCGTTAGAACAATCATTCTCTCGATTGTACCTGACAGCGCAATACATGATCATAATTGTGTGTTCTGTGTAAGGAGGAATGTGTATAATGAGGTTGCATATGACTAAAAACATATGTAAAGCTCGGATTTCTGGGGCCGTTGTGATCAGTCTGGAAGCATATATTGTGTGATTTCAATAGAACTTCAGACTTTGTTTTCCCGAAAAATAAATAAATTTCAAAACATTTGTGTCTGACAAGCATTTCCAAATCTACTTAAAATATTATTACAATTTATTGGTTGTTATTGAGTTTAGAAATAGATCTATAGAGTGAGACAAAGCGGCTTTTCAGTTGCATACAAAAGCATTTTTCAATGTCTTCTAGGTGATTTGTTGTATGATTTCTTCCATTCCAGATCATCAGCCAGTGTGGCAACATCTATCATTGAAAGCGTCTCAATAGAAGCCGACGTATACATGTACGACTTCTTTTCTCTAATTTTGTGTGCTTACTCAATTTTAAAAACAAAAGATTATTACGAACCTCATATTATAAAAATACGTTTGATATTTTAAACCGTCGATTTTGAGAACTTCGTTAATAATCGATAATTTATACATCTTACATTGATTGATCTGACCCGTTCGTTTATTCTGGTATTTTCTTATAATTCTTTGTATTTTGCTGTTCATGCAATCAACATCCTGCATAACCTGATAAGGACTGCCGTTCTTTCAATTTCATTTATCAATATTTCCTCATGCAATTTTGTTTAAATAACCTAAATATATTCATAGAATTCATATCGTTTTGATTTTTGAGTGAAACATATTTGTGCTGAAAGGGAGAGATTCATTCTTAAATTGTCATTTATGATCCTGAGGTTTGTGGCGAATTCGAATGTGTTCATCTTCACGAAGGCCAACCAATTACACTGTGTTTGTTTTCCAAACGTATTTCGCAACACCGAAATGACGCATAGCCAAGTACTTAAAGCTTGCGTTACGTGATCGCTCTCCGTGTATTGAAACCTGATTTCAAAGCTACGGGTAAGTAGATCAAAATATAAAACCGAAATATCGATCGTTTCTCTGCAGAATATATAAAACATGGTTTAAATTGCGAGTATTCAGTTCATGTAACTATGTGTATCAGCTCATTCTTTAATCCAACTCTAAATAAGTTTGATTTCAAACCAATTATAGCCCAATATTTTACACACCAAACGCCGTCTCTTTATCCACTCAGCTGCTGAATCCAAATGTTCACTGACACACACAAACGGTTCCAAAGAATGCTATGAAGGATGATGTTAATCTTGCGTCAAAGGTGGTGTTTAGGTCACTTACATTTCGCTACCTGACATACTATAACCATTCATTTTGATTTTAATGACACTGCAGTCTCAAATAATCAGTTATCAATATCATTAACATTTTCAAATACTGCTTTAACCGTATTTTGGTGCACTCCACGATTTTATTGTTGATAAGGAATCGCTTTTTATAACTTCAATCAATTTGTCACTGAAATGCAATCTGGAAACAAACGATGTCTCATTGTTTTCGAGAAGCTGTTTTTTAAGCACTAAACGATTCGTGCAAACATATGATTGTGGAAGCGTTTCAGTTTTCAACTTATTCTAAGTCTTATCTAAAGTTTGAAACTTATTTTTGAAAAACTGGAGCACACTATATTAATCATCAATGAACAGCAAACTTTCGTTTGTTGAAGTAGGCAAACGCAGCATTTTCAGGGGAAAAAATTCTCAATAAACTTCTCTGCTCTTTGAATTGGTTCTGAAAGATGTTTTAATCCATGTGATTGCTTATATATTTCATCTTATTCGGTAAGGGTTGTCAGGTTTTGAAGGCTATTTAAGTGTAACTACCTTCTATACACAAAAACGATTCCATTTATTATTGCTTGACTACATGGAACACAATTATTGTCCAGTTTTAACATGACCAGCATACGTTGTAAGATATGTAACGTTTTTTGAAGCTCAAGGTGGATGAATGAGATCTCCGACAGTTTTTTTCTTCCGAGTGATCTGAATGCTTGAAGCGCACCAGAATGTCCTTCAGAAGTGTTTATCTAAGTTCACAAATTTCAGTAAGCTTTTCATTCAAACAGCATTCAGCAGAACATAGACAAGATCTTCTGGAGAACGCGAAGGAACGTGACAATAATTTCACTGGGTCTCAAGCTACTTTATGAAGTATGGCTTCCGAAGCTTCCGCACTCCAGAAGCCACAAGTATCTCTACACACATAATGCAGTATACATATGTTTGTCGAGCCAATATGTTTGTTACCACCTTTGGACAAAATATATAATTCTTTTGTAGACAGTGATTTTTAACTTCCTCGAAAACACTCGATCACTTCCTGATTATTTTTGTTTGTATGTATGTGCATACTCACAACGCTTATCACATATCTAGCCTATTATTGTCAGATAACGAATAGGAAGACATATCTCTTCGTATTGCGTTGACTGACTCGCCTTCATAATTTCTTTTGCTTCGATTGAGTGCATTTCATTCCTGTCTGTCTGTTGAAATGAATAGGTGTATCAATTTCATCCACTAAACTGTGTTTAGCCTGATTTCAAAACCGTCAAACAGATGGTTGATATATACTGATATGATACATAATATTGATTTGACATACTGAAACTGTCAGTGAATGTTTTCACAGCATACTCAGACATCCACCTAAATTTGAGTAAGTCCGCAGCCACCTAAGTGGTGATACTCGTATGATTTCGACGTGGCCTTTATGCCATCATATTTCTGTTTGCATACTCACATCGAAGTAAAGCCTACACTTAGCATATTGCACTTTTTTCATGATTTGAGCTTGCAATCTGAATTTTTTCTCGATATTTGGAATCCGGTGGAAATCTGGCTTTGCGTTTATTCAAAAGACTCATTAAATTGTACCATATTCAAACGTCCAAACTTCAGTACACTAAGTCAGCATCCAGTAATATGAATGTGGAACATCAATATCTCGTGATATTTTAACCACTGATTAGTCCAGCTTTACTGTCATTGGAACGCAACAATTTCCACAATTCAACGACAAATATTTTCCTACGATCATTAATATCACTCTGAGAGTCCCATTGAGAAACCTATGGTCAGTAAAAAAAAATTATGTCGTTTTTGTAGTAATTCCCCGTCAAAGACAATGAAAGGTTGTCGCCCAAATTTTTGAACTGCATAGAGACTGACATCACGACAACTGGACACTGAATAATCGGGGAACAGAATAAATAAGATGAACTGTGATGGACTCAAAAATCATGTGCGCGTCATCGATGCTGGATCTATAAAAGAATAATGGACGATACACAACCTCAGACTTCTCACTGACGGTTCAGCAATAATTATTAATGATTTCTATGAAACTCTGCAGCCATGGAGCTGAATACCCTATATCATACAAGTACCTCGTTGTGATAGTGATGTGTGGACTAATTCCAAACTCACGTAACATGCAAATGATTCTAAAAGTATATATGCATGTAACAAAGCACAGGAAAAAGGGCTAGTGTTCTTATGAAACTTAGACTAAGTGAATGACATGATGAACGTTTACGTGAATGTTGTCCTGTTGTCGATATCTCAAGGTTCTTTCAGATTATTAGTAAACAATTTTGTACTACTCAATTAAAAGACAAAACAATGAAGAAATACGAAAAGCATAAAGGCAGCTGAGAGCGCATAACAAACTCACTAGAATAGATATAAGGAAAGGAGAACATACGGGAAAACTCGAGGAAGTGCTTGAGTAGACCAGAGTTTATAAAACAATTGATACAGAATCAATTAAAATTTTTCAACCGCTTCTCAGGGACTTCAGATCGACGATAAATTTCACAGAAGAACGATGAAGAATAAAATCCAATGGCTAGAAACTACAAAAACTGAACATTTCACTACGTACGCTTACATCCGTTCCTGAAATACAACGTACATACATTTAAGAGAAATTTCAAGATTATTGGAACACTTAATGCATCCATCCAAACACATGATTACATCTCTCATACAGTTCTTGGATAAACTCAAGGTGATATAAATTTATGAAAATGAAATGACGAGATCTATCAACCTAACATACGTTTTCGCCCTCAGTCGGACCAAACGTGGCTGAACATACTCTTTATCTACTCTTCAAACAAACTTATCTCCACACGTTTACGGGATATCTCCATTGAAGTTCTCTAGGACTCATTTCAGTCACTTCAATCAATACTGTGTAAACCAAAGGACAAGATTACAGAATGCAGATATAGACTTTGAAAGCATTGAAGTTTGAGTTCGACAGAATGGTTACTGGAGGCATTCGAATACTTCTCTTTCGATTGACCATTCTGACTGCGACGTGTTAAGAAGAACAATGAAAGCGATATAACATATGAAACCAGCTCAGAGAACACAACTTCAGTTTGATACTGTTCAATGAATTCCGTGCCTATTCAGATATTGAATTTCATGACGGTGGCTGGGTTTACGATGGAATACATTGAATTCAGATAGTAACTTGTGAAAATCAATTACATTTTACTCAGTATGATTAACAGAGAATATCTGCAAAACGCGTGCTTTGCTGATTGCACGAATCTCCGTGCTCTTTCTTTCATGTCAGACCATAGAGTAAGGTGATATCTTCATATTTGCTGATGACCATTCCGATCTTGGCATTAAAATCTATGTATTTTGAAAATGACAATTATTTTGCTACTTGTGATAAATAAATAAATCAATTGGCAATTTTTTTCAGTAAGTGAACGAAAGTTATAACTGTATCTTCCTTTTTAATAATAGACTCACCTTTTCTTTCAGTTTGCGAATTCATCACTAAGTGTTATACTCATGCTGAAGCACTTTTATAGATACTACCATCCTTAGGCTTGGAGAAAGGAGGAGCGTAAGATCAGAAGTCCCATTAAGAAGAATTTCCCCATTGATTCACTCTTTTTCCAAACAGTAATCAATATATCAAAACTATAGAATAGATGGCTAACAGCTTCCGCTAATACAATTCCAGCACCTCCAATGAATTCCTTTTATTGAATACAAGTCGTTAGGAAAACTAGGACATATTTAATTTGACTAATAATTTTTACTTTGATTATTATTGTTATTATTATTATTACAACTGTTCTTAGCACTGAAAATTATCTTTAGAATAAAATGAGAAAATTCCATTAAATCATCAACATAAAGACTCCAATAATCAAATATCGTTTACCGATTTTATTTGAGCACGTGTGTTGCCAGTTATGTTACACAAAGAGCATGCAAAATCTGAAGAATAATATAAGACTGGTATCATAGATATTGACAAGCAATAAACCTGATAAATAAAAACATAAAATTGAATGTTGAAAGTTCAATTCATATGACGGATAATTATATTAGATAATGGCCAAGACTTATTGCTCAATTCACTGCTAAAGTTATTCGGAATTAAAACCATCAAGTGAACAGGTAAATATCCAACTAAACATTGAAAGTCACCTATACGATCCACTCTGTTAATATCCATAATATTTAAAGCAATCATCGGATAAAATTCTCCGTTGATTTCTTCACCTCTGTTAGTATCCATTAACCAATTGTGAATATTATATCATGTTGGTTGCATGCCGGAGTGTTCGTCAGCAAATTTACAATCTACTTTCATGATTTGTACTACACTTTCCCTACGAGCGCCTTAACAACTTGAAATCTAAACTGATTGCAATTTCCTTCATGTAACTTCATGTAACTGCATAAAATCCACGAGCATGCAACAACAAAAAAACACGTGCTCATTATATTTAGGGCGTAAGTCTATGACCAGTCAGTGTTTCTATGCAAATATTACAAGTAAACTGTTTAATGAAAAAACAAAACGTTTACTCACTTAACTTTGAAAGTAGGATTTCTTAACTCTTAACTGAATAAATAAATCCCACTTCCTTAAGAATCCGGTTTATTCCTCAGGTTGAAAACCATGATTTACAAAACTTATCGATTGAATTCTAGATCCAATTTGTGATCAGTAGTCAAATACAAAGTCAATTATACCATGAAATATTATCTTGCTAATGAACTGAATCCGTTTGAATATTAAACTTTTTGTTTTGATTGACCCTAATCTGTATGATACACAGACCTTTTTGTTAATTAGTTAATTTTCAATAATATTTATCAGCTATGTATAAGTGCATCATTACCTGGAAATATTCATGGTCATAAGTAATCAATTTTTCCACACAATCAATGAATGATATTCACTATTTTTTAAATTATTATTTTTGTTTATACTCACATGACAATTCAGTTAGTTCTTGAATACGGACTCTTATCTATTCAACAGTAAACGAATAATTATTGATCAACAATACTGGTTATTACATTCAGGCTTATTGTCATATTCATTTCGATAATAATTATATTCTGTGGATAAACAGTTGTATAGTTGGTATTATTGAAGTATTACATCCAATTTCATAGTCATTCGACTAAATGTAAGCCCCATTAACCATTGTATATATATATATATATGTACTTTATCTTCTACAATCCATCTGAAACTCACCTCTGCAACGATCTAAATTCGTTGAAACATCTGCGTTAGAAATAGAGATTTATCATATCAGATAATTTACAGATTTTGTTTGACAGGACATAAGCTTAAACTATTGCATTTTAACAAGAAAATTGTCTTTATATTCTATTGTTTGCTTATCAGGCAGACTATATTAAAAAAACACAACCTAATTACTACCAATATAAAATTCACTGTACTGAAACAAAGTAATATGCTTTATATCGCAGAGTAAATTCAGCAGTATAGAACGCGTTACTTATAAATAATAGGACATTATCGTACATAGTCAAGTTCAGATTTTATTGTTTTATTGAACTGTGTAGACTGAATGCAGTTCAATCTTCGTATGCCGATTTGCTGTGTTGTTGTAATCTATAATATGACAATAATGTTTGAATGTCTAACCCTGGTAGCATCTATAAGGTGGTTCAAGTTGAAATATTGTTAAGTGTAAACATATATGTTACCCTATATAATCACACCACTAATGACAATCAATTTTTCTATAAAATTCTTTTATTCTCTATCAATTCAGATTTCTTTTCTTCTTCTGACAAATTCTTTGCCAACACTTATCAAGTATAATGAGTTTGTGACTAAAATTTAATAAGGACTACATGACCTTATAATCGATACCGGTTTAAATATTTCATAAGAAAATGCTATCAGTAGCAGATGTAAATGAAAGTTATTCTGATCACAACTTCAAACAGCAGAGCAAAAGTAAAATAATGAAATAGCTTCAGTAAAAACCTTTTGTACATATGTTGATGAAAACTTTACAATAAAAGTAAAAACTTTGTTACGTTCATCTTTAGGTATACCTAAACTACTACGAGTTCACTTTAGTTGAATAACGAGAAAAAAAACAATCAACCGGCATCCAGGTAGGCTACTGTGAGCCTTTGACCAAATTGTATCAGCAAGAAATCTTGATATAATGTATTGTATTACACATACACCCAGCACGCACACAATGAATCCAAACATTCAAATTATGTTTACTTACACTTAATAGAAACTTCCTTTGGGGAATCACAAAATAAGACACTAAAGTGAAACAGTAACCAATCACAGCGAAGGATTATTCTGAATAAAAACGTGATTTCAAGGTCAACGGATCGGTCTGTGGAAAAATCCGAAATTAAAAGATTTATCGAGCGGGTTCTCAGGATCCAACATACTCAATAAACCTGAACCATGAATATCTGTTAGTAAAATGAAAATGTAATCGTTTAACTAGAAAGCAGGAAGTGAAAATATCAACGAAGCAATCAGAAAATACAATTACCTCCCTAACTATTATATGACCTAATGACATGTGATTGATGTTTTAACTGTGTATTGAATTCGGCAAACATTTTTAAATGAACACATTGTTCGCTTACCCAAATCGAAGGATTGATACCACCAATAAATTACAGAAACTCCCGACTTCACTATTTCGTTGAAATTATCAGTCAGCTGTTTTGTATGATCAGTTCAAAGTCTACATGAATGTAATGTTTTTGAAAGTAAACAAATCACTTAAAAGAATGACTTAATGGAACTTCAGTTGCTTGATAATAATTGTTTATTGCTGAGGACCTTTATGCTGGGTCGAAACAGACTTTGAATGCCTCTATGTTTGCTACAGTTATCTAAGACCAGTCAATGCACAGTTTCAATGTCTTTACTTAAACAATTGTAGAAATGTGATTTATAGCAATAATTGCCGTAGGATTTTAACTGAATTAACTTTATGTATAGATACATACTTAAGGAATACAGAAGAAACTATGAGTAGACAATGCAAATAGTATAACTTTACGTCTTAAACTATTTTACAATTTCAAACTGCTATTCTTTCATATTGACTCTTTCTTTCATGTATGTCGATCTAAACTACTGAATATTATTCATTAGTTAATTCTACTTGGAGTTAATTTGAAACTTGTAACTCACAATTGTATTTTATTACACAATGATAATTTTGAACGTTTTCCAGTTTTTCTTAATTTTATAGAGTTTTTAATCAATTAGTTTCGCTCATATTTAATGTGAGTTGAAAATGTATTTAGCGTAGAAAGTCTTCCTGTCTTGACCGGAATGCACTGCACTAGAATATAGTCAGTCATCCGCAACGAACAACGTGGCACCTATTTATGCTAATTCAGGTAGCCGAATACCATCAGCATAGAGAGATGAAATTTACTGACTAAAACACGGAGCATTGTAGGTGGCAACAGTGTTAGTGGTAGTAGATGAGATCAAGATTCAAGGTAATAAGATTCTGTCAGAAAAATTAGACTGTATTCGGAAACGTGGATTTTGGAACTGAACGCTCAACGGATGAACCTGAGCTATATCAGAAAATTTTACGAAATGCTATTCGTAATCTTTAACTGGTGCAGACGACCATAATGTTCATTTTAACCAGGTATACTGCACTTATCAACATGGCTGTCACTAACTTAATGTTCGACCCTAGATTTACTATAGTTGACTCGGACACCAGACAACATCGCTCGTTGAGGTGGCAGGGGATTGTGCCTGCCTATCTTTGAATTAGACTGTAATCATTACTGCACGGCTTAAACATCTACTTGTAGCACTATTCCGAAATCAGCAACTTCATGGTACACATTCACCTGAAACGCTAAGTACTTATCACTTTATTTCTTTAGTTTTTCACTCAAAAGTCAGAAACATTTATGCCTTATTTGAAAGTTTTAGTATGACAGTTATGTTTAATGAAACGGTTTTACCTAAAGACAATCATTTAACCACAAAAAGTTCGGTCGGTTTCGTGGCCGTTACATAACAAGAAGATAATATAACATTATTTGTCAAAGGTATTTGTCATGAGGAATACATGTATATTTATTCGGTTTACTGTCTAAATATCATTGGCGCTGTTGTTTTGATAATAATAATGTTGATATAATACTTCACGGTATTATATTTCATACTAAAGTTTTTTAATAATTTACAATATCATTCTTGCTTGATCGACTGCGATGCTTTGTCAGTCTCTTACATTATTCAGTTACTACAGTGAACTAATAATGGAGTAAAATATAATAATGTGACGAATTAACTAATAAGTCTTTACGCGATTTTCAAACAGTAGATGATAACTGGCAGACAGAGTGGTATTTGATTCAGAATGCTGTCTTTAAAAATATAACTCAGGCATATCACATACCTAAAAAGAGAAGAGCTTAGGTTAAGCGATAAACTTAAATGGCTAGCAAGATAGCCTGTTTGAAGTAAAACGTCTCCGTAGGGGATTTCAACGGTAGTAATGCGAAAAAATGCAATAACAAAGTTACAAATCATAGGAGACTTTTTCAAATGAAGTTAGCCGCCAAAATTTAAGCAAACATTGAGCATCTATTAAATTTATAGACAAAACGAATATTTGTAAACCTAGGTGTTTGTGCTCTCAAAGGTCCGAAAGGTGTGAATCTTTACAACCTCGAAATGGCTGAGATCTTCGAAAATCTCATATATCAACGAAACCACATACTTACACATAATAATAATAAAAATAATACCATTATTAGGAGTTTACCTTGAATCAGAACATGTCATATGAGGCATGAAAATTCAGAGGCAAGATCAATATCTTAAAATTGCTGATATATTCTATGTAGAAGGTTGTTCGGTTACGTACATAGTTCACTAATTTCATTGGCTTCTTAAAGATGGATGAAACTGATCACATGATATATAGGTAATGTTTCAGTCTCCACAGTATACAATACGACAGTTGGCGCGACTTACCACTGATGATTGAGAACCAAAAAAAATTAAACTCAGGTCAGCATGTAACAGGATTCAATGGGGTAAATGTGAATTCTGATTTCTGAATTAAAACACTATTTGTAAACATACACTTAAGTGGGATAATGAAGACAAGTCATTATTATGATGAATAATCTTAATAATAGATGAACTTGAAAAGAACTAAACTGATCGAATTTACCTTGATTAAGAGAATATAATAATGGAGCACTGAAATCTAATGT